GCTGGGCTCCGGCGATCCTTCCTCCTCAGCCTTCCAAGTAGCCGGAATTACAGGCATGCGCTACCACGCCCTGCTAATTTTTTGATTTATTGTAGAGATGAGGTCTCGCTGCCCAGGCGGGTCTCGAACCCTCGGGCTCAGGCAATCCACTCACCTCAATCGCCCAAAGGCGTGGGATTACAGGCTGAGCCACTGAGCCCAGCTTTAAGTTGAATTCTTACCAGTCTCCTCTTTGTATTCAGTCATCTGCTTCCTCTGGGTTGTTATTTGGAAAGAAAAACTTTTAAGGGCCGGTTGAGCCCTTTAACTAGTTTTCCACGGATGAGTTACCAGTCCTTGTTTGGAGGGACCATAGCACTTACAGGAGGTTTGCCTAACCTGTGACGAGTTTTGTCTTTCTTGAGCAAATGACCATAACTCTCCTTATAAATATGTCTGTGTTCCTAAACCACTTATCCAGTGATGACTGCACTTTATTTTGTATTTCATAAAGTAACTTTCATTTCATTGGTATTTGTATTTTAAGAAATGGTTATTACATTAATAATGGTGCTTATATAATGATGATTCCAATTTCGGTTTACTAGGCATTTAATCTTTCAAATGCCTTTTAACAACAATTTTATCTTTTAAAACATAGCCATGCATGAAATACAGATGGGGAGAAATTGGAACTTAACACAAGCTATATCTGTTACTACCATTACTAATACCACCACCACTACTATCATTAAAAAGATATATCTTGGATATAAGAAAACATATAAAAAAAACCAAGGCCTTCGCTCTGATAACTTTCATTATTGTTATTCTACCTCGGTTTAAGTCAAATACTACTATATGCTGTAATAATTAAATGGCATACAAAGTGATTGCAATACAATGAGTGAAAGACAAATCACATATCTTCCACGCAAAAATATGTATCAGAAGTTTTTCATATAGTTAACATTTTCTGTTTTAAATGAAATATTGGGAATATTGGTTTTGTACCCAATTGCTTATCCAGATATGCTCTAAGGAGAGATGTCTTAATGGAAGAAGCACGATTGAAGCACAAATGGAAACTTTCCTCAAAGAAGAGATCTGGAAAGGTTATGGTGAGCCACAGCTACTGAAGCGTATTACATCTTTCCGTGATCTCTGCTTTCTTAACCTGTGAGGTGTGATCTGTTTTTTTTTTTTTTTTCTCTTTTATTCAAGGTCATCACTAAACTTTCAGAAAACCAAAAAGAAGATAATGCAAAGGAGGAATAGACAAAGAAGAGTTTAGATGCATATTCTAAAATACCACATTGGTTTAAAATAACTTACGATGAAAGGGTCACTTAAGAAGGGCACTGCTTAAAATTTAAGCAGGGAGTAATGGAAAGCGACAGACCTCAAACAATTTAAGTCTTTCACAGTTGAGTGAACTCACAGTGACAGCAAGATGAGGATGTGCTAACTTACCTCTGCAGGACCTTGGCGATCGCCTCATAGGCTCTCCCCAGGCTGAGATCATCATCCAGGTCTGCGGAGATTTGACTGTAAGTGTTAAGGGCCTATCAAGAAGAGAAATACATATTGAACCTATAGCACGTTCAGATACACTGATGTTTTGTTTCATAACAGAAAAGATTAAAATTAATAGCTGTTTTTAATGTCTCTATAAAAATGTTTCTGTTTATTAAAAATTCATGTTGGTTTAGTTTATTTTTATCTATAGTATAGTGCGTTTCATGGCAATCTCTTTAAGCCATGACAGTGAGGTCTTACTTTTGTAAAAATAATTCTTTCCTTGCATAATCTCAAACATTCCAATTGATATAACTTAGGTGAGAATAAATAATTGAATGGTTTACAATGTTATTTTAAAATATGAGACTATTATCTAATGTAATATAAGGCAGATTATAATATTCTACTATGGTAGCTTAAATATCACTTTTCTTCCTATAAATATCTGTTTGAAAAGCATGTATTTAGGTGACACGCAATTTCTAAATCTATCATTTTATGAGACGCATATCTCACAGTTTGTACATGTATACAGTATACAGTAAAAATATTTCTTACAAATGTACTTCATTACCAACAATCTCTTCAATAATCAAAAGATTACATCTGCCACAGCCAAACATATGATCTTAATTTAATTTAATACTGACATCATCTGTATGGTACAATTTTCCTTTTTCTTTTTTCCCCCCGCTTCCAATGGCCAGCAGGAAACAAAATCCCCATTCTTTTCTCCTTCATTGTAACTTGACCCAACCTATTACACACATGAGGACACAGGAAATCTCCAAAGGCCTCTATGGAAATCCTTTTTGCACATTTTCTAAGAAAGAATTAGTGAAAGTCATTTGACTGCATTTGGAAGAGAGATTCAGTGTGAGGGGGACAGAAATATACCTTGTGTTCTATGGCCTGACCTAGGCAGCCCAGAAGGTTTACATGTTAGGAGAGGGGTTGATATTCATCTTTACTTTCTTAAAGTTAATATTTGGGAAATAATTTCAATGAGGTTATTGTGATACCTCATAAAATTTGGTTTTCATGTGGTTTGCAAGTTAAATAAAACTGATGTTAAATCTTATTCACAGATACACACACACACACACACACACACACATATACATATTGTGTATATATACACAATTCCCCAGGGTTTTAATTTCTGCTAAACCTGCATGATTCAAAATTTTGTCTTTTTTTGTACTTTAAAAATGTATTTATTTTTAATTGACAAATAATAACATACCCATTACTTTACCAACTTATTTTCTTTGTGGCGAGAATATTAAAAATTTATTCATTTAGCAATTTGGAAACATTCATTCTTACAATCTTTGGTTCTCATTTTTGTCTCTTAATAAGCCTTATATAAACCTGAGAATATTGTTTTCATTCTCTTGCATAACTGACTACCCTTAGATTTAATCTGATATGACTTGACACAGGCCTTTCAGAGTTAAGGGGCAGAACCTCTTTGAATTTTGTGAATTTACAAGAGACCTCTTTGAATCCCAATATCAAAATATTTAGGAAGAGATTCTCTAGTCTTTTTTTGATTCATATATTTTTAAGTGACATTCTAGAACTTCAGAAGAAAGATTGAATATTATATTTTGTGCTAAAATAGTTCATGTGTTCTTTCAGCAAATACTGTTATTGTGTCCCAGGCACTATATTAGACCACAGGAAATTTTAAGTAGATAAGAACATGCTTGCAACCCTCAAGGCATTTACAGTCCAGTGCTCTAGACTTTGGATGGATGCAACTATGAATTAGCAATGTCTGAAGGCAGATTTCTCCAGGGCTTAAAATGTGCTTATACCACACCACTCTCCCATGTCCCAGGCCACCATGGGCCCTGAAACACATGGTTACATTCAGAGGTGTCCAATTTTATCTGAGAGGTGTGATATTTTAGCCCATGGATACAAGGGCAAGTGTCCAAGAAATTACAGGTAGATACTTCAGTGGTGATACCTTCTATTCCAAAAACAACTCCATCTTGGCTTTCAGCTTTGGTCTCAGACTTAATTCTTTTCTTTTAATTAAAGTGGGGTACAATTCAGGATTAGGTATACAAATGTTCATTATGCAGGTACCCTTGTTGATGAGGTGTGCCCTTCCCTCCCCTGGCAGTTTCCCTCCACTGCCAATCCCACTACCCCCTTCCCTAGCAGTTTCCCACTACTGCCAATCCTTTCTTATAGCATTATAATAATTGTTCAAGGTCTGCTATAAGTGAGAACGTATGGTACTGTTCTTTGTTTCTGTGATAAATCACTGAGTATGATAGACTCTAAATCCATCCAAGTTGCTGCGAAGTCCATATGTTTGTCCTTCTTTATGGCTGCATAATATTCCCATATGTACCACATTTTAAAAATCCTGTCCAGCTTTGATAGGCAGTATGGTTGGTTCCATGTTTTTGCTATTGTGAATAGGGCAGCAACACACATGCGTGTGCAAGCATCTTTTTTGTAGAATGATTTGCGTTCCTCTGAGTATATTTCCAGTAGGGGGATTGTTGGGTCATATGGAAGGTCAATTTCTAATTCTTTCAGAAATTGCCATACTGTCTTCCAAAGAGGTTGCACTAGTTTGCATTCCCACCAGTAGTGTAGAAGTCTTCCTTTTCCTCCGCATCCTTGCCAGCATCTGTAGCTGTTTGTTTTGTTAATGATGGCCATTCTTACTGGGGTTAGGTGGTCTCAGAATTAATTCTATAGTAACTTCCTCCTGGAGATAGACATGGTCTATTAAAATAAACAATAACCTTAGAATAAGAACACATGGACCCGAGTCCTAGTTTTTCCATCTCCAACATATTTGGGTCAGGGCAGCTCCTTGAGTTTAATTTCTTTGTAAGTAAAAAAGAAAACCTGTCTCTGAGTGTGCTTGTGAGGCTACCAAATAAAGTGCTACATAAACCTTAGAACAAGAATTCTTTGGGAATCTGTCAACCAGTCACCAGTGAACAGTTGCTCCTGGGGAGAGCTTTTTCCCTCAGAGAAATGCCATCTTATCTTATTTGTGGTTTGAGAGAATGTGGGTATTTCCTTAAACAATTTATTTAACAACAGGAAATATATAAGCAACAGGAAGAATACAATTCATTATTGGCCAAACAGGGAAACAGTCAATCACATGAAATCCATCTGAGGACCTTGGCAGAAGGTCTGCTCTGAATCAAAGACTGAGCTTCTGTCCCTTGGGAGTGTGCGCTGTAGTGGGACAGAGGGGTGCATACAGGTGCAATCACAGGAGATTTAAAGGCAAAACCCAGTGGATTGGTGAACGGTATACCTCAAACTAAAGAAAGAAAGAAGGTCTTCATTAAAGTAAAATAATACAGAAATGAATGGGAAAATAACACGGGATTATGAATTCTGCAGAAGAGAAAATTGCTTTAATACTGATTGATGTATGGTAAGCCACTTTACCAGCATCTTAAATAGGTAAGGTGTAAGTCTTACCTACCTTATTAATCACAATTAATAAATATTGATCAACTTGAATCATTAGACAAAGAGTGAAACCTTTTTTACAAAGAATACTCCACATGAGAAAATACAGTGTGGAAATCTGAGGGATTCACTGTACTTGATTGAATATCCCTGTGGCGTGCAATATATTGGGAGCAAATCCAAGATCTGGATGATTAAAATCTATCACTGTGAATCAAAGACCAGCAAGAACCAAGAATCCCCGGAGACAAAGTATTTAGGTGAATTGAAAACATATACCTTTAAAATCTAATGGGTGATTAACTTAATCAACCTTTGTCAAAAGACAGAGGAAAACACTGATTTAGCATGTTACTATGTAAATTTCAATGGACACCAAACTTCATAATAACAGGTTATCAAAGTTGGAAAAGTCAGTTTACATACCTAATAAAAACTGAATGCTACTTGATACAATTCATCCAGTAATTTCAGTGAATAATGAAGATGAAACTTTGAAAACTGTTTCACTAAACTTTAAAGACTACAGACTAGCCTCTCACCAAAATGAAACTGATGTACTTGGAAACACATTTTTAAATAAAATCCAAGTTCTTAAAATGAAATAATTGCTGTGGTCACCTAAAAACAAAACTAATGGAATATTTAGCATAACAAATGGGAATGTACAAAAGAATAATGCTGGAGATACACTACAAATTCTTTTAAGAATTGATGATTGTAAAATTATATTTAAGGATTATTAATGTCATTTACCGCAATAGCAAATTGCAGTAAATTTAAGTCAAATATTGTCACCTGCCAAAAACATGAATAGAATATCTATCATCTACCTGTCTGAGAGATAGTAGAAAAGCCGACGTGTCCTCTCAGAATTTAAAATTTACAGGAATAAATTTTTTGCCTGAGCATTGGCACCTTAAAGGAGACATATAGGAAGACATTATTAGGTCTAAAAATATCAAGCACGCAATAATTTTCTTTTCTTTCCATGCTTAAGACTACAAGTTATGAGGGTACCTTGGAACAGAAGAAAATGAGTTACTGTTGGCCCTTAACACAAGTTTAAACTGCAGGGGTCCACTTAATAAGTAAATTTTTAATTTTATTTTATTACTTTTGTGTGTGTGTGTGTGGAGATGAAATCTTGCTTTGCTGCCTAGGTTGGTCTTTAACTCTTGGGCTCAAGCAATCCCCCATCTCGGCTCCCAAAATGCTGAGATTACAAGGTATGAGCCACTACGCCCAGCCAATATGCGGATTTTTTTTTCTCAACCAAACGCTGATTGAAAATACAGAATTAATGGGATTATACAGAGGGCGGTTTGTTCCCATAGGCAACTTCCCAGGGCCAACTGGGAGACTTGAGTGTGTGTGCATAATCTGTGGGTGGTCCTGTGACCACTCCTCCAGGCCTCCCTCTGCAAGTATATTGAGGGAAAGCTGTATTTGGTATTTGGTATTTCCTCCTTCCTGTCTTCCTCTGTTACCCCACTGCAATTTCTCTCTTATATGCCCTTTAGTTGAGATAACATTAAAACAGAAAAAAGTTCTATCCATCATGGACCTTAGACTCATT